TTTGCGTGCACATTTGGGCGGCATTATGCAAATATTTCCACATAGTGAGGTAGATATGTGGGGCGTGGCAAAGTCTTAACTTTGATAAAGAACATCTCTTTGGTTTTGAGACTTTAGGCTTTGCAACTTAAGGGATCGTATCTATGCACAATCAGCTTGTAACACTCCAAAGAGAAAGGAAAACTTGAAATCGCATCATATGACCCCTTTAAAACTGTCCTCCCGAGTCCCTCACTGAGCGCCTCGCATGCACGAGGAAGGCGTTTCTGTCTCGCGCTAAGATGGTGGGCTGGACCGACACATTTGCTCGCACGATTGTGGGTCCAAAAGGCGCCATGACATCAACAACATTTATGCTGTGCGATAAATACATGCATTAAAAAGTTCCTATGCACGTTGATTTGAACTTTACAAACCTAAAATGGGCGTTAAATGCGAGACACCGACTAGCCTGCTGGATAATGTTGCAGAAGCGTAGCCGCCACTTCTCCATGTTGACCTGGATCCGATTAGAAACCTACCAACAATTTCTCAAATACAACTGGGATATTATTAAACAGCAGTGAGTTGCTTAAAGCACTCAACACATCTGCCTGTTAAGTGTATATATATTTATGCGCATATATATATATATATATATATATATGAAGAATCGCATAACCTACAAACACAAGTCAATCCTGTAGCAAGTTGTTTTCACAGTCTGCACACGCAGCGCCACTTACCTGTGAATTACCGAATTAAGGGCGAAATAACACCGAATTAGGTGGCTCAGTGCAGCTAGACCGGCTTTAAATGTCGACAAACGTTTGAAATCTGTCGACTGGAGAAAGAGTTTGCTATTGTTTTACCGAGGTCCTTTGGATGGCCAGACAAAAGGTAACGCTAGCTAGCTACACGATCGCTCCGCTCAACCCGCCAATTCCGACCCAACGTGCCTGTGTACGTACGCGAGTGGTGCATCCTGGGAGTTGTAGTTTTTGTGTTCACTGTGAAAATGAAAAGATGGTTGAGGCACAATGTGGTTCCTCAGAACACTTGGAAATGCCTCATATATACTCAAAAACTTCAATATATATATTTTAAGCAGAGCTGGATTACGTAATCAGGTTCCAAAAATCAAGGAGGCTATTTGTAAATAGATTAAATTACATTTTAAAATACCTGTAATCAGACTACAGTTACTTTTTTATTGATTACATGATTACTTATTATTCACCATTATACATAAATTGTTCATAATTTATTGATTCCCCCTATTTCTTCTTTTTCATCTTTTAATTGTTCCTTTCTAAAATATCCTACCGCTTATATACATTCAGAGAGTCTTCCAGTTTTGTGGACATTCACACAAAGACCAGTCCTAATTACAGGGGTCTGTAATTACACAGAAAACTGAGAGGCCACACAACATTTGACCACTGGATTTGCAAAAATCATTTTCAGGGGTAAGATGTGTTTCAACATTGCATCAACTATGAACACATAAATTTTTATTTGATTATCTCATTCATGACAGATAAATGTATGAGCCATTCTGCTTGCATACATTGTTTGTATTAAATCAAGCACAAATACTTAACCCAGTGAAACTGACATTTTCAGTCTGAATTGTCTCCTAGCTATGATAAGCAGCTGCTGTGGTGCTCAGTTCGATGGCACACCCTCAGAAAAAAAGGTACAAAAGCTGTCACTTTGGCAGCACCCTTTCAAAAGGTACTGATACGGTGCCTTGTGAAAGTATTCGTACCCCTTCAAGTCCTGAGGTCGAAAGAACCACCTGTAGAGCTCAGAGACAGGATTGTGTCAAGACACCGATCTGTGGAAGAGTTCAGAAAAAATTCTGCTGCATTGAAGGTTCACAGAAACATGTAGCCTTATCCTTAATGGATGAAGTTTGGAACAACCAGGATTCTTCCCAGAGCTGATGGCCTCCTGGCGATGGAGAAGGGCCTTGGTTAGAGTGGTGACCAATGCTCACTTTAGTTGAGCTTCATGGTCATATTTGGAAATGGGAGAAACTTACAGAAGGACAAACATTAATGCAACACTCCACCGATCTGCACTGTAAAAAATAAGTGTAATTTTAACTGTAAAATTTTGTAAAAACGCTACGGAAAAAAACTGTTAATAGGTTAACAGTAAGTTCCCGTACTATATACAGGGAAAAACTGTAAAATATCTAACCAGACATTTCATGTAATTTTACAGTAAAATGCTGTTAATTTTACAGTTTTTAGAAGTAAAAATAACAAATAAACAAAAAACCTGTAAACTGATATTCCCAGAATTCCCTGCATGACACTCCACATTTGAAAGTATTTTGTTTAAATAATCATGTTATTTTAAATAGTTTTTGTTATTAGTTATGTATATTTGGGCTTTATGTTACATCTTCTGTCGTTTAATGAAAGTTTAATGCATTATTTAAGTATCATGTGTGTTACCATGATGGTGTTTTGTGTTTGCATGAATGACTCTGTGCACCTTCTATATATTAGTATATACTTCTGCTTGTGGCGAAGCTACTTGTGATGAGCTTTGATTCTTCATGTGGCTTTCTCTTTTACCACCTGCATTATTATGCTGGTTGTCAGTATGTTAAAGGTACAAAACAGATTTTAATAGCAGTGTGAATTGTTGAATTTACTGGTTTACATTCAAATTTTCTTGTTTGTAAATTACAATTTTATACTGTAAAATTTATTTTTATACCGTAAATGTGTTTACAGTTTTTCTGTATTTTTTACAAAATTATTCTGGCAACCACAGCTGCCAAAATTATTTTGTAAAAACTACAGAATTTTTTTTACAGTGAAGTTTTTTGACATTCGAGTCACATCTAATCTGTAAGATTGGGTCACAGAAACGTCTGCGTGCTTCATTTCTCCTGAATTTCTGTCTCCACAAATTCTGTTAAAGGACACTAAGAGCAAAGCCAAATTTAGACCAATTATATCTTGATCCAAGAATGGAATGCGTTAGGCGACTAACAAAATTAGATTTTACATTCCACTCCCAAGTTTCTTTTTCATAATGCAAAACTGCTTTTAGGGGGCCGACCCATTTCTTTCCGCGACTGCACTAAGAGAGGCTTATTTGTTAATTTCGAGACTTGAAAGACCAATTTATCTTCTAGGATCATCATGTTAAAACTACAGATTTTTTTTTACAGTGTGGGCTTTATGGCGGTGTGGCCAGACTCAATCATCTACTCTGTGAAGACACATGAAAACCCACTTGAATTTTGCAAAAAACATCTAAAGGACTCTCAGACTGTGAGATACAAGATTCTCTGGTCTGAAGAACCTCAGTTTCAAGCAGTTTAATGTATGGAGGAAAGCAGGCACTGCTCATCACCTGCAGAGCACCATCCCAACAGTAAAGTGTGCTGGTAGCAGCCTCATGCTGTGGGGGTGTTTTTCAGTGGAAGGGACTGGGGGACTCGTCAGAGTAGAAGCAAAGCTCAATGCGCCAAAATATACAGAAAGCCTTAATAAAAACCTAGTCCAGAGCATTCAGAACCTCAGACTGGGCAGATGGTGACCCTATAGCACACAGCTTGCAAAAGTGGCTTATGGACAACTCTGTGAATGCCATTGAGTGGCCCAGCCAGAGCTTGGGCTTCAAACATTTCTGAAGAAACTTTTAAAAAAGTCTGTCGGCCCCCCCATCCAACCTGACAGAGCTTGGGAGGTGAAGAGGTGAGGAGAAGAAGGGCAAATGCAATTTGCCAAATGCAAATGTGCAAAGCTTGTCGCATCATACCCAAAAAGACTTGAGGCTGTAAAGGTGCTTGTACTGCATTAATTGCATTGCATTGAATACTTATGCAATGTACTTATGTCAGTTTTATTTTTCGATAAATTTGCAAAGATGTCAAATCTGTTTTTTGTTTTTTTATTATTGTGTATGGATTATAGATTGATGTGAAAAAAAGTAATTTAAAACAGTTTAACTTAAGGCAGCAATATAAAATATGAAAAATATTAAGGGGTACGAATACTTTCGCAAGGCACTGTATATCCCATTTATGTACTGTGCATACTTAGTTACTAATACATACTTTTAAGGTACTAATATACACCCTTTAGGGGCACATATGGTGCATAGGTGTATTTCGAAAGGCTACTCCCATTGTAACAGCTTTTGGACCTTTTTTCCTGACAGTGAACAAGCCTAATGTGGTTTAGACCCAAAAGTGCCATGTGAAAAGACACCTGCTGAAGGATGGGAGTGGAACTGAATTCTGGTTCAGAACAAGCAAATTGTGAAAACAGCCTGACAGCCTGTCATTATCTCAGTGTTTGAGATAAATATAGTCCTGGACTGTTGCACAGTGCACTTTGCCCCACTGAGAAAGAGCATGATGACCTTGTAAGCACATGCAACAGCCTCGGTTGTATCTTATTTTGCCCTGTTGCAGTTCCACTTTAGTAAGAGGCTCATCTCTCTGGACCATTTGCATTGCTGCAACCTCGTACTCCACATATAAGTAGATGCAGGGAGAGAAAGAGTGTGCGTGTGTGTGTGTGTGTGTGTGTGTGTGTGTGCTGCAACAGCCTTGTATCTTATTTTGCCCTGTTGCAGTTCCACTTTAGTAAGAGGCTCATCTCTCTGGACCATTTGCATTGCTGCAACCTCGTACTCCACATATAAGTAGATGCAGGGAGAGAAAGAGTGTGCGTGTGTGTGTGTGTGTGTGT